TTACAACTCATGACTGTAACTGAATAAAGTGCAAGTTTGATAAGGCACAAGATATTTACATCTCCAAGCACCTCCCCACATCATACTTAGAAATTAAAAGAGGAAGAAAGTAACTTTTCCTGGCTTCCTCTACTTTAATCACGTGATCAAAGTTATCATCCCTCTGATGGTAATGGGGTGACGAGGCCAAGCTCCAACCAGGAGCGCACTGAGCACAGACACGGTATCCCTGCCAGAAAGCCTCAGTCTGACTCTAATCATGAGGAAACATCAGGCCAACCCAAACTAAGGGACAGCCCACAAATTAAATGTCTTGGAATCTGCAGAAGGGACAAGGTCATGAAAAATCAAGGAACGGCTGAGGAGCTTTCGAGATTGAGGACAGCACAAAGACCTGGCAACCAAAAGTAACGACCGCTTCAGAACCAAGTTCTGTTGATGCCTATGAGGACGTCACTGGGACAACTGGCAGGACTTCCCTGGGTCTAGAATGGTTGGTAGTAAGGTATCCATGTCAGTTTCCTGATTTTGATAGCTGGGCTAGTCAGGTAAGAGAGTCCTTGTAGAAAAATCAGGAAAGTATTTAAGGGTGGTGGGGCATCATGTCAGCAACTTACTCTCAGAGTTCTAGAGGGAGCAAATGTTCTTTGCACTGTATTTTCAACCTTTCTGAAGTTGGTTAGAAATGCAGAGACAGCCGGGCACGGTGGCTCAAGCCTGTAATCCCAGCACTTTGGGAGGGCGAGGCGGGTGGATCACGAGGTCAAGAGATCAAGACCATCCTGGTCAACAAGGTGAAACCCTGTCTTTACTAAAAATACAAAAAATTAGCTGGGCATGGTGGTGCGTGCCTGTAATCCCAACTACTCAGGAGGCTGAGGCAGGAGAATTGCCTGAACCCAGGAGGCGGAGGTTGCGGTGAGCCAAGATCGCGCCATTGAACTCCAGCCTGGGTAACAAGAGTGAAACTCCATCTCAAAAAAAAAAAAAAAAAGAAAGAAAGAAAAGAAATGCAGAGACAAGGCCAGGCGCGGTGGCTCACGCCTGTAATCCCAGCATTTTGGGAGGCCAAGGTGGGCGGATCACGAGGTCAACATATCGAGACCATCCTGGCCGACATGGTGAAACCCCATCTCTACTAAAAATACAAAAATTAGCAGGCGTGGTGGCACGCGCCTGTGGTCCCGGCTACTCGGGAGGCTGAAGTGGAAGAATCACTTGAACCCAGGAGGCAGAGGTTGCAGCGAGTCGGGATTGCACCACTGCACTCCAGCCTGGCGACAGAGCAAGACTCCCAATCAAAAAAAAAGAGAAATCCAAAGACAAAAGCCCAGGCTAGAGGTGGGGACAGTGCAGGCGGGGAGCCAGAGCCCAGCAGTGCCCCCTTGTGGTCAGAGAGGCCTCTGCAGGATAGCTCAACCAGCAACGTCCTGGGTACTGATATTCCTGAGAGCTGGGTTCTAGGAGCTTCTGCTGGGAGTGGGGTGAGGATGGGGCAGGTTACTGCCCAGCTCTGGGCCTCACTCTGTGGCCCCCTAGGAGGCCACTAGGAGGGGCGGGTAAGTCCCTTCCATTCACCTGTCTCACCGCCCCTGGTTTCCGTCTCAGGCCTGGACTCGGGGCCTTCCCTTAAATCTCTGCCACAGACATTCCAGGGAGGGGCCCTGGTCAGTGTGAACTGCAGCAGTCCAAGCCTGGGCCCGGGGGAGGTGCAGAGAAGGGACCTGAGGTTCCGTTTAAGTGCTTCTGGGGGAGACAGACAGGAAACCCTAAAGCCAGCTCTCCCAGTCCGACTCTTGGCCCACCCCGTTAAGTCAAGCAGAGCTGCCCACTGCAGCTTACCCAGCAAACTTCCCTCCCCAGGCTGCATATCCATCCCTTTCCCCAAAGCCTGGGGATACAGTCCTTCTTCCCAAAGCACAGTTGGGGCAGCAGAGTCTCCCAGAAGAGAGTCCTTGCCGCCCAATGAACCCCTGGGCAGCATGTGCAGCCTTCCAGACAGGCTTCTCCCAGGGGCCCCAGTTTCACCTGCCCTGTGGGCCCAGCCCCAGGAGATCTCCTTGCTGGGGCCTGGAGGGAAGGGGCAGGGCTTCAGGTTCATCTCTGCCCTTGCTCAGGCCTCTCTAAGCAGCACCAGGGGATTCCCCAGCACACTCCTAACCCTCAGCCCTACTGGGTCCTGGCTCTAGCTCTGGCTAAGCAAGCACTGGGAGAGGAGTCTGGAGACCTGCCTTCTAGACGTGGCCTTGAGAATATCAGTGACCCTTCCTGAGCTTCACAGTCCCCAAATGAAAATGAGGAGTTTGGACCAGACTGAGTGTAGAGAGAGGAGGAAATGACACAACAGTCCCTTTGAGGTAAAGGGACTGAAAGTAATGGGGGTGGGACTTGCAGATGATTCAGAGTGAAATGAATGAGGAGACATACCCCTCCAAGGAGAGGCTGTGAACTCTGGTGGGAGTGAGGGACTAGCTCTGCCACCTCCAGCCAAGTGGCCCCAGGCTCTGCTGGCATCCGCTTAATTCCACTATAATACAGGGGCACTGAGGTGATCTTATTAAGAGTCATCCCATAGGTTTGATGTCCCGGGATGCTAGGAAAAAGTCTAGGGTCGGTGAGCCTCCTATCCTCACATATCTGAAGGAACAGTCATTGTAAGGAGGGACCAGTGAACATCTATGAAGTTCAGAAGGCAAACCCAAACCAGTGGGCAGGCACTGCAAGAAGGCATCAGGAGACCCCGTGGGAAAGGGAACTTCTCAACAAGCACATGCTAAAATATGGGCTAAGAGGAAAAGCCGGGTGACCAGTACCTACCCAGGCTTCCCCGCCAGCTGTTATGCAGGTACAGGCAGAGGATGCAAACAAGCCCCATTAAGTCCGAAGTGCTGCTCAAGGGCAATGTTTCCTGACAAGTGGCAGACAGCCCCACGGAGCACACCCGGGCCCTTCCTTTGCTGGCTCCAAAGGAACCTACCTGAGGGAACTCGGAGGCAGAAGGAGACACAGCCACAGCAGGGAGCTGTCTGGTCTCTCCACTGTTCCTTCCATCCCTTCCCCCAGCCTCTCTCAAGAGCCTGGGCCCAAAACAGGGGAAAGGGTCCAGCCTGTAAGTCCTTCTCCTCTCTCCAAGCCCAGAGCTCTAGCCCCCACCCTGCAACAAGCCCATCCAGCATCAGAGGGCTTTCATGACCCTCCAGGCTTCCTCCCCCTTCCTCCCTCCATGCAGCCCAGCCTTCCTGCCTGGGCCGCCCAGTCAGAGGGGTGTGGCACATCTGGCTTGGACAGCCTTGGCGAGAGTCCTTGGCCCTGGGGTAGGGAAAGCTGTTTGCTGGTTCCTCCCTGCCCCGTGGGAGCAGAGCAGCAGTGAGGGTTGGGTGGTGATGAAAGGGGGCTATAGATCCTGGGGTCCCCAGCTCCTGAGCTCCTCCTACGAAACTGCCTCAGCACTGCTTCCCACTTGCCTTCCTGTGGCCAGAAAGCCCTGGATGATGTAGGGAGAGGGCTGGAGTCTGTAAGCCAGGGAAAGGGGCCACCACACACAGGCCTAGGGCAGACCTGGGAGACAACTCCCGTCACCTCGCTCAGCCTCCTGGCCATCCACTGCTCTGTGCCCCCTCACCCTTAGGCTGGGAGGTCTGGTGGGCATCCAGCTGTCATGTCTGTGGGGAAGGCTCGAATCCCCAGTGCGGCTGCAAGCTGGCTTCTGGGAGTCCCATGGGCACCTCAAATTCCAGATTCCTCCAACCTGCTTCACCGTCTCACACACACAAGACCCCCACCCCCAGGCCCTAGCCATGCTCTTGGCCTGACCATACTGTTGGTCGCCCTGGGTGGAAAGCTCTGAGTCACACTCAACTCCTCCCCGCACCCCCGCCCCCATCTCGGCAGTTGCCAGATCCTGTGGAGTTTGCCACCTAAACACTCATCCTCCCATGCTTTGTAACCCTACTGCTTCTGCCCTGGATGAGGCCTTGGCACTTCTGCCCAGGACTGTTGCAGCAGCCTCCTGGGCCCTGACATTAGGCTGCTCCCACCCAAAGCACTTATACAACCTCTCAGGATCACAGCTACAGCTCTGTAGGGTCTGGCACCTCCACTCACCCCAAATGCTGCCATGGCTTCCCAGGTGTCTGGGATAAACCCTGCCCTCCCTGGAGCCAGCAGGAGGAGAAGTATTGGTTCCTACCCATTCCTCGCTCCCAGTCCCAAGCCCCAAGATCCACTTCCCAGCTCCCTGCCCTGTGTCCACTCAGGCTGTTCTACGCTCCCCACCCGCCCGCCACCCCCTGCACCTCTGAACCTCTGCCCAGGATGCCCTTCCTCCCCTCTTTGCCTGTCCAGCTTCTAGGCATCTTCGAGGGCCTGATTCAAACCTCATCCCCTCATTGGGGTTCTTCCCAGATACCCCTGGACCTGTGTCAGAATCCATTTCCCCATCCTCTATCCCCTCATTTTATTTTGAAAAGTGCAAAAGCTTCGGAAAAGATGAACACACATGTGCCCTTCCCCTATGATCACACTCAGAAATTCAGCATCAATACAATCCTATTGTCTCATACAGAAACTCTAATGCCCCAAGAACGTCCACGAGAGCGGCACTTGGTTTTCATTCTTATTTTGGATTCAGGACATAATCAGGATCCTGAACTGCCTTTGCTGCTGGGTCTCTCATCCTTTAACCAAGACACCTTATCTATCTCTCATTTTTCTTTTCTGATACTGACACTTTTAAAGGTTTCAGGACAGTTGTTTTGCAGAATGTCCCTCGATTTGGGTTTTGATCATTTTCTCGTGCGTCAGTGCAGGCTAAGATTCTGGGGAGGAATATTATTACCTCGGTGTCCCCTGCTTTTCCAGCCGCTCTTTTCTTTGCGCCTCACCATAGTACTTGCTGCAGTCTAATGGCCCCTGCACTTGTTAGCTGGGCAAGGTGCTTAACTTGCTCTGCCTCACTCTACTAATCTGTTAAATGGACTAAAGACAGTCACCTCCCATAGGCCGTTGTGAGGATGAAATGAGATCATGGCGCATGGTGAGGCCTCAGCAGCGGTGAACGGCGATTCGTGTTGTCTTTTCTGTGGGCATCAGACTACCCACCAGGCAGACATGTCAGCGCGCACATAGCTCCATGTCCTCTGTGTCCAGCACAAATCTGAAGAATCACATGGGTGAAGCTACTGCCTGGCCTCTGTTTTCTGTAGCAAAATTATACCCCATTCCCATGGACCTGCCCTCAGAAGAGAGAGAACGTGGGGCCACTCCCATCACCAGGCAAGACAGCAGGTGACCCAGTGCTGTCATCTTCTGGCTGAGAAGATGCTCCTGGTCTCCAAGCACTGGGAACCTCCAAGGAGGGCAGACAGCAACATTTCCCCAGTGCTTTCCAGGCCACTGCCAAGAGCCTTTCGCTCCTCACTCAGTTTCCTGAGTGAAATGAGTTCTCTCTCCTCAGACAAAAATGGAAAAAACGAAAAACAAAACAAAAGAAAAAGAAATTGGTTCTCTCCATCGGTGTCTGTCTGTCTCTCTCTCTCTCCGATCCTTCTTAATGCAGGTTGCCCACATTTCTGAGCATCAAGCCCATTTTCTGCATCAAGCAAAATCGTGTCCTGGCTTGGAAGGGCTCAGAGATGGGGTTAGTCTGAGGCCACCTCAGTGGGGCCAGGTGCCCTGGTGAGGGATTGGCATGGATTTCCTCATTTAATCCTCACAAAGACGCCCTATGCTGGGTTAAGGAACTCACCCACGGCCCTACCTGCATGTCCCTGAGTGACTTCCTCACCTACGCCTGGCTGGAACAGAGACTCAAATCCCTGCCTGTCCAAAGCGGAGTCCCAAGCACCTGCCTACTGCACTAACCAGCAGCTCGGCCGCATCTGCCGACAGCTGCCTATCTGTGGCAACCTTGGGGAACCCTGACAGCTGTATCATCAGCGGCTGGGCCCCTCTCTGAAAGATCATTTACTGGCTCATTTCTCTGTGTCTTATCCAGCCTCAACTGTTTTCACTTCCTGCACTTGGATTTCTGAATTCTCCAATTCATCTTCATTATTCTATTTTATTTTATTTTACTTTAAGACAGGGCCTTGCTCTGTTGCCCAGGCTGGAGTGCAGTGGTACAATCAAAGCTCGCTGCAGCCTTGACCTCCCAGGCTCAAGTGATCCTTCCACCTTAGCCTCCAAGTAGCTGGACTGTACCAGTGCACACCACCATGCCTAGCTAACTTATTTATTTTTACTAGAGACATGGACCCACGATGTTGCCCAGACTGGCCTCGAACTTCTAGGCTCAGGTAATCCTCCTGCCTCAGCCTCCCAAAGTGCTGGGATCACAGGTGTGACTACTGTGCCTGGTCAGATTTATCTCTAGTTTAAAATTCACCTTCCAGGGAGTCTTCCCTGACACCTTCTTGCCCAAGTCCAGGTTAGGTCCCCCTTACATCGCCCAGTGTTTCCCTCTTGGTAACACCCACCCTGCTTTCAATCATGTGCCTGATATGTGCAAGCAGCTTAAAGAGAGCAGGTCCTCCATAATAATCTGTGAAAAGGATGGAAAGGTGCTTGGCAGGGGGGCATGGTTAGAAAGCCAAACGCCAGGATGCTCCTTCATCACACTATCTCCCCAACACCGTGCCCTGTCCCTGGGCTGCTCGCCATGGTCGTCTTCGCTGACTTAGGGCTCACATGTCATTCTTAGGGCTCAATTCTCACACACCCCACATTCCCTGCCCCAAATCATTCCCGGAATGGAGAACCCTGGCAGAAGAAGCAGCAGATGGGGTTCAAGCCTCGACTGACTTGCTGTGTGGCCTTGACAACGTGCCATCCTACAAGAAGCACTAACATTTATTGAGTTCTTATATGGGAGAGACACTTCTCTAAATGCATGTGTGGATTAGCCCACTAAAAACAGATCAGCCCTATAGGTAGGTGGGAAAACCAAAGCGTAGGGAAGTGAAGCTGTTTTCCTACCATCACACAGATGCCGAGTGACCAGCCCAGGATCCAGCCCAGACACTGCACTCAGCCAGCATGCTCCACTTCCGTTCAACACTGCAGGAAAAGAAGTGCAGTGCTGCTCCCCAATTTTGTGCCTCTCACATCACTTTGAAAAACTTTGCAAAAGGAGAGTCTTATTTCAGACCCTGACAAATCTCACACAGCCCAGTCTACCTCCCAAATCCACAGTCAGGAGGACCTTACAGGTCAACCAAACTAGAGGAAGCAAGTTCAAGACCAAAGAGTCAGATTGGGGTCCCCATGGCAGGAATTGCTCACAAGGGATCCAGGGCTCATGAGGACCCTCTGTCAAGAATGTGTGCTTAGCCCAGGGCAGGACACCAACTCCAGGAAACAGAACACATCACTGTCTGTAGCTGTGGCCTTAGTGAATAGTATCCAAGTTTCAGAGAGGTCCAGAAAAGCTGCGTGAACAGCTTGAGACCACTAAGCTTGCTCAGAGCAGGACCAAGGCTGCGCTTGAACCCCAGCCCCCGCCTGGTGGCTCTTTCAGCGTCACCCTGAGCCCTTCCCAGTTCCTGGAGACAGAGTGATCCCCTCTGGAAGGAAGGACCTGCAGCTCTAACTCCAACAGTACAACACCAAAAAGTCTCAATTGCTAGGCATGCAATTATTTTCTAAGTAAACAGTACTTGAATATGTATAGCAAATCAAAGCACTTGATGAGAAAATCCAGTTATTCATAATAAATAGCTCTGCTCCTTGGCTAATAAAGTGATTTTTATTCCTAGAGCTTGTTAAAACTATTCACTACAGATATATTACTTCTTGGATGACACAATTGCAGCTTTCCCCATACAGGAACATGTAAATTGATAGACACAAGCACTCACTCTAGGCACAAGACCTCACAGCTTCTGCCTCCGTCATCTTCCCTGAGGCCGCAGAGCCAGCCATTTCCTGGCCTCAGAGTAGCTGGTCATAGTCCCTGGGCAGTCAAGGGACTGGTCATAGTCCCTGGTCATAGTCCCTGGACACAGTCCAAGGACACAGCCCTGTCCCATGACACCCTTCCCAGGGAGATCCTCCCCCAGCATCAGATCTGGGATACAGAGGATCCCAAGAACCAGGCTGGAGACTGTGGAGTGGGAAGGGGGCCAGCATTCGCTGAGCACCTACTGTATGCCTACATACCTGATCTTTTGACATCTATTGTCTCTTTCCCCACCCCAGCCATACAAGGAGTATATTATTCTCCCCACTTTGCAGATCAGGAAACTGAGGCTCATGAAGGGAACTGCTTTACCAAGGCTGCCCATCCAGTAAATATGGAAATATGGTTTGAGCGTAGTCCTGTCTTTCCAGTCCCTACTTCCCCAGACTCTGGCTCACCATGGCCATGGGCATCACAGCCAGCCAAGCCAGGACAGAGACTAGGAGAGGAGAGGAAAAGGAGCCAGGGGAGACACACAGGCTATTCTAGTCTTAAAGACACTCAAGGCCTGGTGCAGTGGCTCATTCCTATAATCCCAGCACTTTGGGAGGCTGAGATGGTCAGATCACTTGAGGTCAGGACTTCGAGACTAGTCTGGCCAACTTGAATATGTAATAGCAAATGGGAGCAGTTGATGAGAAAATCAAGTTATACATAATAAATAGCTCTGCTCCTTGGCTAATAAAGTGATTTTTATTCCTAGAACTTGTTAAAACTATGCTAGTTTAATGCTAGTATTTGCAGAGATGAAACCCCATCTCTACTAAAAATTCACAAGTTAGCTGGGCATGGTGGCGCACACCTGTAGTCCCAGGCACTCAGGCTGAGGTAAGAGAATTGCTTATATCTGAGAGGTGGAGGTTACAGTGAGCTGAGATCCTGCCAGTGCACTCCAGCCTGGGTAACAGAGCAAGACTCTACCTCAATTTAAAAAAAAAGAAGATGAAAGAGAAGAAAGAAAAATAAAGACACTCAAGAAGGCAGTACCCACACCTGCCTTGGTGCCCAGACTCTTCCTCCTACTCTCGGGGAGGTATAACACCCACAGGGCACTCTACCTGCCAGGCACTGCCCTGGGTACTTGGATACAAAATCTCATCCCTACCTCTCTGCAATCCTCATTTCACCCATGGGAAAGCAGAGGTTCACAGGGCTGAGGTGTTTTTCCCAAGACTGCTCAGCTGAAGGGGGTCTATAGAGCGCTCTCTCCATTCACAGCAGCACATCACCACTGGACGTCTATCTGCCATCCTTCCGTGTCACCCTGGATGTCTACCTGCCAACCTTTTTGCTGCAAAGCTCCCTCCTGCTCACCTCTGTCCTCAGCACAGAAATAAACCTGGCCAAGGCTCCCATTTTCCAGATATCAACACCAGCCCAGTAAACCACAAATGCCTCCCTTTGGGGGACTTCCCGGTCACTCTCAATCCATTAATCCGGCCCATCCCAGCACCCTGGCCCAACATGCCACCCAAACCTCTTCATTCTAGACCCCCTCCTCTACCCTTCTTTGCCCAGAGGACACCTGGCTGCCCCAGTGTGTGTTCCCACAACTGCCCCTAGCCTGGGCTTGCCTGGGCCAAGAGGGCCCTCCCGAGGACTGGCCAGAACAAGGAAAGGGACAGGAAAGGCCACATCTGGATCGCAGACCTGAAGCCCCCTCCCCCAAACCAGCCATCACTCTTTCAGAGCCCTACAGTAACCTCAGCCAGGGATGACTTCCTCGCCCTCCTGACCCCATGTATGCTTTTGCCTGGCCAAGACAGCCCTACCAGAGCCCCTCTGAGGAAGGGGTCCTCTCCCCCCTTGACCCCTGGCCCTCCTGCAGTAGGCAGCCCTCTCCCAACCCCCTTTTCCCAGGAGCCTTAGCCCAGGACTGGCCTTAAGACTTTTACCCTTTACCACATGGCCCCCAGGCCTCTCTGCTGACCCCCCAGGCATCCCCATCTGAGACCCACCTTCCTGAACCTGGGGCCAAGAGGGAAAAGGGGAAGAGCAGGCCGTGGATCCCTCCTCTGGGACGGGGAGGTCTTGGTAGCAGGGGAGGGCTGTGGAGGAAGGGCTGGCAGGGAGTGGAAGCTGAAATTGGGTATAGAAGGAATAAAGAGATGGAATCTGAGAATTCTCTCCCAGCCCAGCTCTTCCAGACTTCATATTTGGGGCTACTCTTCTCTGCTCCCACCACTGCCTCTTCCTCAAGCTCTAGGGCTAAGCAACTGAAGGAGGGTGAAAAATTTTCACCCCATTGTGGGATGCGGGGGTAGTGGGGGAATGCTCCAAAAAGAAGCAAAGTTCTCAATAGCTTCCTTCCACTTACAGCTCTGGGACTCAACTGGGGGGTGGGGGTGGGGCAGGGGATGTACTGACCCAAGACCCTGGGTCTGGGCCCTGTTGGTGGGGACAGTCTTTAGGCTGAGGGTTGCTCAAGTCAGTCTGTCCTTCTGTAGGTCAGAGACGGAAAGGACCCTCCTTCAAGACTGACACCCCCACCCCAGGCTCTTAGTGAAAGGATAAGGTGGGGGGTTCAGTGGTGGGCGGGGGCTTGAGGAAGA